AAAATACGGTATTAAATAGTCTAGGGAGGTAATAGGTCCTCATGAAAGTTTAGTATCGCAACAGCAAATTCGACCAAAGTTGGGGTATTTTTCAAATCCTTATCCCTATGATATATAAATTAATTAGTAAAATACAATAATTTTGATTACTCATAAAATCTCAAAACACTCTTTAAATTAATAAATATTAATTCATCGATTATATAATACATTTATAAAATAATAAATTTGTATCATCCCACTCCCACCTATATTACTTTAGAGGAACTTTCACATATAGTCACTCAAAAATAGCTTAATTATGCTCCATAGTTATATTTGTTCATTACGATTTGTAGCTACATGTTATAGGGAGGAGAGTGACGAGTGAGATTGGGAGAGGGAGGAGAGAGGCGAGCGAGAGAGGGCAAAGAGTGGAGAGAGGCGAGTTGTATATGTATATTTATCAAATAATTGTATATATATATATATATACGTATGTATGTAATACATACAAATACAATTAGTTTCTCCCTACTCTCTGCCCTCTCTCGCTCACCTCTCTCCTCCCAATCTCGCTCAACTCTCTCCTTCATCTCCTAATCTCGCTCGCTAGAGAGGGCAAAGAGTGGAGAGAGGCGAGTTGTATATGTATATTTATCAAAATAATTGTATATATATATATATATATATGTATGTATGTATGTAACTGGTATATATATGTATTTGTATATCTAGCGAGCGAGATTAGGAGATGAAGGAGAGAGTTGAGCGAGATTGGGAGGAGAGAGGTGAGCGAGAGAGGGCAGAGAGTAGGGAGAGACTAATTGTATTTGTATGTATGTCATATAATTGTATATATGTGTAATTTGTATTTGTATATGTATAAAAGAGGACAAGTGACGTAGTTAAAACTAAAATTAAGTTGTGAGCTGTAATTAATTCAAACTATAGCTATATTAGCTAATTAACTAGTATATATTTGCCTTTTCACATAATTGTATAATTAATTACTTGCAGCACATACAATGACTAAGGTTATTGCTGAGTACTTAGTGATTTTATCAAGTACTTCCATTATGAATTACATATTTACTCCCCGTCCAACAATAGTTATCCACTATACTAAAAATAGATGTCCAGTTTAAAAAATCAAGAGATGATTTATCTTTTGTGTCTATTTTGCCCTTTCTATTAAATATTGTTTATCATTTAAACACATTTCTCAAAACATTAAATTTAATAAAGTCAAAGGATAAAATAATAATAATATTACCCCATTATTTATTGTTTCTTAAGAGGTGTGCCAAATCAATAGTGATAACTATTGTTCGAAAGAGGGAATATCATTTAGTCCTTAGCATAAGTCATAACTTTATCTATTTTAAGAATTTAAGAGAGTCTCTTAACCTTTTTCCATATTATCCTTAATATTAAATAATTATATAAAATTGTAATAATCAAATTTAAAATTTCAAAACATCATTAATATGATTAATTTAAGAGTAATATACACTTCGAAATAAAGCTTTCTTACGAAGTGTATCTGACCAACATGGATCAAGCATAGGGGTGGGCATGGTATGGTACGGTATTTAAAAATTTTGATATCGTAATTTTGATATTTGATTTTGAAAATATTATACCATTACCATATCAATTTAATTCGGTATAGTTCGATATATTAAAGTTTGATTTCAGCATTTTACGGTATGGGAAATCGATAACCATAATTTGTTCAACCTCGACTAATATATACTCGTATAATAGGGTATTATGGCTTCGACAATTAAAAAAGGTCTCAATTGTATCATACTAACACATTACACATATGTGCAAAATAAAGTACACACAACTCTTTGAGATGATTTTAGCCACCGGGGACCGGCTCAATGAGCACCGGTCAAGATCAAATATGTTTATC